GCCCAAACCTGGCGGGCGCAAGCCTGGAAAACAACGGCCGCGACGCCCTCTCGAGAACCGAAAACGGACAATTCACTAATCGACGTGTCACTGTTGGGGGTTCTGCCCACCCCCGAACCATTGTTCTCGCACCCGCTCGGGCATGCCCCCGGAGCCCCGCACTCGGGGCGCGGGCGCCCCCTCGAGGGACTCCTCGGGATGCCCGAGGTGGGACTCCGGTGCCGTGGACGCGGACCTGCTCCGGCGGCGCGCCAGGGTGCCCTCCGGGGCCCTCCCGGGAGGACGCCGCCCACCCGGGAGGGCGACGCCCACCAAGGCCGGCAGCCCGCGGGAGGAGGAGGAGGAGGGGGAGGGGGAGGGAAGAGGAGGAGGAGGAGGAGGAGGAGGAAAAGAAGGAGGAGGAGGGACGCCGCCCACCCAGGCCTCCGAGGTCCTGGTCCCCGCAGCGCGGACGCTCCTTTCGCCTGCAGCCCAAGGGGGGCCAACTCGGGACAGGCGCGTTCCAAACCTCGCAGAGTGACTGCTCGCGCATGGCTTAGATCCGCCGCCGGGGGCTTACGATCCACTGCATGGAGGAGCACATTTGTTTTTGTCGGGCGTCTGCGAGTAGGCACTCTGCGAGTAAGGAAACGAGCTCGGTGAAATCCGGAGCCCCAGACCATCAGACCTGCACATGGGGTGAAAAAAGATACCGCGGGTTATGATGTTCCAACCTACTGTCAGCGAGTTCCACGACATTGCCGACACTGGAGGGTTTTCACGTGTCGGGCCCTGGGAGACACTCGTTCAACACTGTCTCGACACTGTCTCGACACTGCTTCGACGCTTTGCCGGGTGCTCGAAACTATTTCTGAGATGTGGTCCTTACGCACGATGAGGGCAACCTAACGCCCAGGGTGAAAAAAGATGCCGCGGGAAACGTGGCGGGGCTCGAGCTCACGGGGACCCCTTGAGTCTCGTGTAACCGATCCCCATCCCCAGCGGCGTGGCCTGTGCCCCTGCAGTGGCCGATTCACCCACCTGGATGGGGAGCTAGGTCGTTCCCTTTCGGGTTTCGAAGGGCGTATCCCCAACTGGGGTGGTAATTTGGAGGGGTCTCGAAGGGGATGGGGATGGGCATGGGGATTGGTTCAACGATACCAGCCCCTGGCGCCCAACAGGAAGAAGCAGGGCGTCGGAGGCCCGGGCGACGCCACGACGAGGCACCTCTGGCACCCGGCGGCTCCAGGAGCCGTATCCCCCCCTCCTGCCGACGCCTGGATGACACCCTCGAAGGTCCGCTCCTCCTCCTCCGCCTCCTCCTGCTCCTCCTCCTCCTCCTCCTCCTCCTCCTCCTCCTCCTCCTCCTCTCTCCTCCTCCCCTCCTCCTCCTCCCCTCCCCCCCTCCCCCTCCCCCTCCCCCTCCCTCTCCTCCCCCAGAGTAGCGAGGATCACGCAGGGCCTCTTCTCGACGGGTGCGGCACCTCAAGCTACGTTCGGGCCCGAGGTCTGGGGGATCGCACCCAGTCGGGTATTACTCCTTCGACGGATGGCTATGCGGCTATGCGATCGGCTGCGGGACCAGGCCCAGGACGATGTTTATTTACTGGAGCGGCAGTGTTATATCATCTCAAAAACCCAAGCATATCTCTACGACGGCAGCTGGTCAGCGAATGGCTGCACCAATGGCTTCTCCACCCAGAACTTCACAAGCGAGTGCAACAGATCTGGACACCGACGTACCGAACCCTTCTTCGAGCTGGCACCAAGATGTGGCATAAGGTTCATGGACCCGTCGCCGCTTTGCAGGCGACTCTCATCACGACAGGGTGGAAACCAGTTCCATCAGCATTATGGAAGCGACCCACACCACGAGGAGACGAAGAATGGCGTTCACCGTTTATTGGCCAACACGGCAGATGCGATGTGGACGCGGTCGAGTACACTCAGCTCCTGGAAGACCTCGAGACCGACTTGGACACGGCGAGGTGGAAGCAAGCGGCCACACACCTGCACGATGAAGATTTGTGCAATGGAGGCAACGTATCGGCAGAGAACAAAAGAGGTACGCGGACAAGGCTGAATGGTACGATTGGGCTCTTAACAACGTCGTCGTTACAGGTGGACAATGGCCAAGCGTTAGACAAATCCAAGCTGGCTACGTATGCGATCCTGGCATCTGCGGTCGGTGCAAGCTGGAGCCAGAGACCTTTTTCCATCGTATCTACACATGCCCCTGTGACAGAGGGAGCCAGGCATATGAGAAGACATATTACCTTGTGACGAAAGCGGTGGCAGGAATGGATGCTAACCCAGCGTTATGGTTGCGAGGCATTCCGCTGAAGGAGTTCACACACCCTGATCGTCACCGACAACCGACAACGACGACGTTTGGGTCCTTCGAGCAAGCAAGGGTCCCTGGCAGGAAACCATACATCTTCGGAGACAGATCGAGAGGAGTACACGGAGCAGGTCCCAGGCGCAGAAGGGTCGGCATCGGGGTAGCTGCCATTATGATGATCGATGGGGAGTGGAACATGACAGCGGGCACGATGGCAGATCTACCTGGACTGCGCCAGACGGTACCTAGGGCAGAGCCCACTGCCTTCGCGATCGCAATCGAAGAGACTATTGGAGATACCGTCTACGTCACGGACCACTACCCGTTGCTCAAAACTTGGAATAACGGCAAAGCTCGAGACCCAGGACGCGGTAGGAATGCAGATATATGGACACGCATCAAGCGAGCCATCATGGAGAACGAACAACGGCACATCGAGGTGGAATGGACACCCTCCCATCAGGACGACGACGAGGCAGAAGTGGTCAACCCGATCTTCGCGGTGGGCAACGGCTTCGCGGACGCGCTGGCCACGGTGGCAACAGAATCGTCTTAGGAAAAAGGTATGTCAACCGCTGCCGCGCACGGACGAGTGGGATGCGATTTGCGCCCATGTGCGACTCCGTGCACGACAAGCGCTGGCCGACTCTGCAGATGCTGATCCTTAGTGTAGCGAACGACCGTCGGCAGCCAAGCCCAAAGCCGAGAAGTCAAAGCACGACATGGTCGAGCTACAGACTAAGTAATTTTGTACGGCGTGCAGACAATAGCTTACCGCGGAAGCCCTGCATGAGCTCGTGGACACACAGTGCGAGACCACCTTTGTCACCGCCAATGAGATAGTCGACGTCAAGGGTGATCGCGTTATCGGCAATGGCAACTTACATCCGACACACACGGTCAACGAATGGACGAAGTACGGTCTGTTGTTCTCTGCTAAATGCGCGGCGTACGGCACTACGCGTGGCAAGGGTTTGAGAGAGGTGCGCGAGAAGGTCATCACAAGGAGTGGCCAGGACTCGTTTAACCGCATTCGTGATGGAAGCTATCCTGGTTACAAAGGCCCGCCGAAGGCGGCCCTGGAAGCAGAACGAGCCAGCCTTGTCAGGCAGATGCACGACCAAGAACTTCTTGCCCCACACGTACCGCAGCAACATATTGGGCTGCCACCACCGCCAATTGCTGAGCCACCTCCTCCACGCACACGACGTCGAACTATGAGAAGGCCTGCAGGACATGAAGTCGCTCAAGCACGGGGTGGAGTTCCTCGAGTGGAGCAAGTTGTGTCGCCAGTTCATACAGCAGATGAAGTTGACACAGTGCCTGGACGCAGTGCAGACGCAGGTGATGGATTACAACGACCCTCATGTGCAGCACGACCTTGAAGAATTTGTCGGAGAAGCCGAGTCCAGAGAGCTGCAGTCTGGACAACCACATTTATGCGCAGGAAGTTCATCCTCGACGGCACTGGTACAGCCCGCTGGAGAGTACTTTGAACTGGAGTTATGTCACGACGATGAGGAGATGTACCCGTCGTCTGCCAGCAGCGAGTTGGGGTCTCCGCCTTCTGAGTCCCTCGCCGTCGCCGCCGCTCGCCTGCCCGTCGTGAACCCCAATGTGCCCGTGACCTTGGCACCTGGGAGTGGGCCCCCCACCGTGCCCAAAGGGCCGACGAGCGGCGCTGCAACTGGATGGATGAAATGGTTTCACGGGCTCGCCGTGTCGTGCAGGGGCTTCTGTGCCTGCATGAGGTGGCGGGTCTAGTGGCGTGCCTAGCCTAAGCTAACCCTCCCCCTCCTCCTCCTCTTCCTCCTCCTCCTCCTCCTCCTCCTCCTCCTCCTCCGTCCCCTGCTCCTCCTCCTCCTCCTCCTCCTTCTCTTCCTCCTCCACCTCCTCCTCCTCCTCCTCCACCTCCTCCTCCCCCCCTCCCTGGCTCACCCAATCTCGTGGGCGGTCATGAGGGGGGCGGGCGCTACTGCCGACGGCCACAGGATTGACCCGCGTCGCAGACCAACGCCGCGCGCCGAGAGCGCTCCAACACACGGCGCGGTGCGCTTGCGTGGCGAAGTTCGACCCCCGTCTTGGCGGCGAGCGAGGGGGGGAAGTGAAAAGTAGAAGGCCTTATCAGAAGGCGGCAGGACTTCTGAGAAGCCCTCGCACCTTCGGAGAAGTTTTCAGTGCCTTCGGGGAAGGCTTAGAAACTTCTCCGAGGGACGGGGGACTTTCGAGCCTTCTGAGAATGCCCGCCCTTTCTCACTTCCCCCCTCGCTCGCCGCCGACCGTCGGCCCACACCCGGCGCTCATACGGAACACAGAATATACTTGGGCATCCTAAACTACCTCAATTCACGTTTCGCGCCGCACTGAGAACCTCCCCCCTGGCCCATGGAATGATGCCGTGAAAACCGAGCGTCGTGAACAATCGCCACCGATTATCGTTGCCCCGTTCTGGGCCCAGGGACCTTCACGCGGATACGTCAAGCTTGCGAAAAGGTTGGGTCAAAGCCTTCGGTTGATTTGTTGCGTGCGAAATCGCTCCAAATTCCACGACGCTGGTCCGCTGGCCCTCCCGGAATCTCCCAAGGTCACGGGGGTGGCATGCGATCCTAAGCGGGCACAGCCTGTTCCGAGGACGCGCGAATATTCTATTTACAGTGGCGGGCCAGGCCCTCGAATCCGCTCAGCAGCCTCCCTGCGAGGCGCTCCCCGACTCGGACGCACTCGGCGTCGGAGCGGCCGCCAGCTCGGTCGTGATCCTGGCGACGCGGCGCTCGTCTGACCACCGCACTCCCCAATCCGACTGCCCAGACAAGTGGCGACTCGAGACACTCGCGCTGGGATATGTTTCACCAATTTCGGCCTCTCGGGGCCGCTTCGGGCCTCGGGAATGTCAGCAGAAAAATTGAGGAAACGCCCGCACTGGGAATTAAGTCGAGGGCTCCAGGGGGCGGCAACTCGAACGAATCGAGTCGTCGGAGGTTTCGTGCTGAGGCACCCTCGGGGCATCCTCAAATCGGCGATCGACTTCCCGCGCGGATCACGCCTGCCCGTCCATCGGCGAAACGTATGCCTCCAGCCTTGGGCCCCGATCGCCAGATGTACCTCTGGAAGAGGATCGACCAGATGGGGCGGGGAGGAACGGGAGGGGAGAGGAGCGTGGACGCGGGGGATCGGGGAGGCAGTGGGGGGGACGGACAGGAGGGGGCGCGCGGAAGAGAGGGAGGGGGCGGGTGGGGGGAATTATTCGCCGACGCTCGCGCGCCGCCCCTGTGAAGGGCTGGCCCCGTGGCTGCCCCGGGCCCGAACGATCAGAGACGGGCCCTGCGCGGGGCAGCACGGCAGCGTCTCACGCCGCAGCTCGCGCGGGCCGCCACCGCGCGGCACGCCACCACTGGAGACGAGGGGGGCCCTGACGCGCGACCCCGCGCGGCCAGCCTGCGCGCCGATGTCGGCGCAGGCGACCCCACTGGCGGACCCCGGGCGGGCATCGGGCATCCCACGAGGAGCCGCCGCGCGCCTCTCGCCCGCCCTCGGGGGCGCGAGCGGCTCAGGTTTCGTACGCGTGCGGTGTTCCCCCCCGCACCCCCCGCCGCGCAGGCATGCTTGAAAATGCAACCGCTGGTTTCGCCCGACGCTGGTTTCGCCCGGCTGGTTTCGCCCGGCTGGCTTCGCCCGGCTGGTTTCGCCCGGCTGGCTTCGCCCCGCTGGTTTCGCCCGGCTGCTGGAGGAGGTGCAGGAGGAGGAGGAGGAGGAGGAGGAGGGAGGAGGATGAGGAGAATGACGAGGATGATAGGGGGGGGGGCAGTAGGAGTAGGTGGAGGAGGAGGACGAGGAGGAGGAGGGGGAGGAGGAGGAGGAGGAGGAGGGGAGGAGGAGGAGGAGAAGGAGAGGGAGGAGGAGGAGGAGGAGGAGGAGGAGGAGGAGGAGGAGGAGCAGGCAGGACGAGGAGGAGGAGGTGGAGGTGGAGTGGAGGTGGAGGTGGTGGAGGAGGTGGCTGAGGGAGGGCAGGACGGAGAGAGGAGGGAAGAAGGTTAGGGCCGCTGGACCCGACCCGACCCGACCCGCCCGTTAGGGTTCTCGCGTGCCCTCTCGATTATATGCACCACACTTTAATGTCCCGCCCGCCCGACCCGACCCGCCCGTTAGGGTCCGCCCGACCCGATCCGACCCGACCTGCCCGTTAGGGTCCGCCCGACCCGACCCGACCCGCCCGTTAGGGTTCTCGCGTGCCCTCTCGATTATGTGCACCACACTTTCATGTCCCGCGAAACCAGCGGGGCGAAACCAGCGCCGGCGAAACCAGCGCCGGCGAAACCAGCGTCGGGCGAAACCAGCGCCGGCGAAACCAGCGTCGGGCGAAACCAGCGCCGGCGAAACCAGCGTCGGGCGAAATCAGCCCCAGCGAAATCAGACCCGGCGAAACCAGCCGGGCGAAACCAGCCCGTGCCTTCGAAAACTGGTGTACCGAATGTTTCTTTGATCTGTTGTCGGGTCACTCGATGTGGAAATCCGTACGCAGCCCAAGGTTTTAGAAGGATTTCCGCACGCGCGCGCGACGAAGCGCGGGCGCGCGTGCACTCTCCTTCCCCTTCGGGGATGGGTCTCCCCACCCCCCTCTGGACGTGGACGGGGGAGGAGGCGCGACCCATTGGAGCGCCTAAAAAGGCCTCGGCGAGACGACGGGAATCATTGATACGACCATTCATGCGACGAACGACTGTCTGGCCCAAGTTTGGCCTCCTGGGGGGGGCACTTGAACGCCCCTTTCTTTGATCGATCATCTCCAAAACGGCGCCAAGATGGCCCCGGAGGCTCCCAATGGGTATCCCAAGAGGGCCCCAAGAGGCGCTCAGGAGGCCCCCAGAGGCTCCGAGCGTGCCTCCCCAATATACCACCGAGAGGCCCCCAACAGATCCCCAAAGAAGCCCCCTGAGACACCGAAGACGATTCGTGCGGCCCCTGGATCGACAAGACGCCCCCAAGACGCCCCAACAAGCCCATCACTATTTTTCAAATGACATCCGAAGAGAGTCCGAGAAGCACCCAATAGGTCTCTGGCCTTTCTGTTCGCCATCCTCCTCTTCATCATCCGCCTAATACCCACCCACTTCGTCCCTTCTCCTTTCGTTCTCCTCCCCTTTACACTTACACAATATGAATACTACTCTATCTCCCCGATTGACGCCAAGAAAATAGTATGCCCCCCTTCGCGTACTGGTTTGTTACACGCAGGATTCCCAGGAAACTGGTTTTCGCTTCGCTGTTTCAAACATGCTGCTCTCGATGAAACGCTGGCCTCATTCTCAGGCGACCGATCGCTCCGAATCGTCCTCCCGCTGCAACGGTGGCCTCATTTCCGCGCTTCCGCTCGTTCCGAGTCGTGCTCCCACTGCAGCGCTGGCGTTAAAATCCCACCAGCCCTCTGGGCGCAGGTGGTTTAGGGAGTTTCCTCTTCCATCTTCCCTTCTTCCCCTTCGGGGAGGGGTTTACCCCTCCCCCTTAACCCCCTCCCCTGGACCTGGACGGGCCCGGTCGCGAGCGGTCACAGTGTCCAAGATGGCCCAGGATGGCTCCATGAGCGCCTCGGATAATCCAAAATGACTTCCAAGATGGCTCAAGATAGCCTAAGATGCCGCAAGATGGCTCCGCAGATGTTCCAAAACGCCCTCCGAACGCTCCAAGACAGCTCCAAGAGGCCAATTATCTCCCCAAGGAGGCCCCCCAAGAAGCCAAAATCCTTCAACAACCTAAGAAAAACCAATGAGTTTCGGCTTCTCGCCTTTTCGCTTCCGATGGCCATATGGCCTCAACATGGCTCCAAGAGGGGCCAAGGAGGCCCCAAAAGGGGCCCAAGAGGGCCCCAAGACGGCCCCAAGAGCGCCCCAAGAGGGGTCCAGGCGGCTATTTTGGGAGCTCCCGAGGGGCAGGGTTGATTAAGGAACCCGCCTTCTTTGATCGATCGCTTCCAAGATGGCCCCAAAGGGCGCCCAGGAGGCCCCCAAAGGCGCCAAGATGGCCCCAGGAGGCCTCCAAGAGGCCCCCAAGAGGACCCCAAGCAGCCCCCAAGAGGCTCCAAGAGGCCCCCAGGATGGTCCCAAGAGGCCTCCATGAGGCTCCAAGAGGCCGCCATGAAGCTCCAAGAGACCCCCAAGAGGCCCCAAGAGGCCTCCAACAGGCCCCCACGAGCCCCCCAAGAGGATCCCAAGCGGCCTCAAGAGGCCCCCCCGAAACACCCAACACGCCCAAGAGCCCCCATTGACCGCCAAGAGACCCCCAAGACGCCCGAAGAGGCTTCCAAAACGCTTCCAAGAGGCATCCGAACGGCATTCAAACATCCACCCAGCGTCATCATTCTCCTCATCCCTCTTTCCCTCGGTTCCTCGCCACCCCCTCATATATCCATCTGGCCTCCTCTTCCGCCTCATCCTTTCCACGGGTCGGCCGTCCCTCTCGTTGCTCCCCCACTTCCCTGATCTCTTCAACTTGCCTGGACATCGTTTCTGGATGGGCGGGTGGGGATATTTTTTTTGGTCGCGGTTCCAAGGAAAAACCCAGGGAACGGTCACAACGTCCGGGGCGCGGTACATTGTAAATTTGCGAATCCAGCCGTCACTGTCGACAGCCGACCGCACCTGCAAGCATGCTCGCAGTTGCACATGCACAGTACAAAATGAACTAAATTCGCAGATAACGCACATAGGCGCAGCAGCAAACTGTAAGGCACGAGCTACAAGTGCGAAGACAGCTGAGTGATTCGCCATTCCGGCGCCAAACTCGTGCAATTCCGGCGCCAATTCTGGTGGGGATACTTTTGATTGACGGCTCCAAGGACAGCTCCAGGAAGCGGGACGTTCTCGGCTGGGGCACAGGGTCTGGTGGGGATATATTTTTTTGTTGTTTTACAGCCGCGGGCGGAAGCGCCAGCGGCGGCGGGTAACGGTCGGGCTGCGGCCGCTACAAATTGGCCGGGGGCGCGCGCGTGCCGCGGCCTCTGGTGGGGATACGCGAAGCGTCAAGAATTTTCAGCGCCATGCCACAGCATGTTTTTCGGTTTCATCCAAATGGGCCCTAAAATCAAAAAAATGCCCCCCCCCGCCGAAAAAAAACATCGGAAGTGATTCCACATTCGGTGTCGATCCGTTGATTTTCGGGTCGCAGAAGCCCCTCCCCCCACTTTGTGTCGTCGCCACGCCATGACCTGTCAGGCTACGCGTCCTCCGAACCGTGTTCACGCTGCAGTGCTGGCCTCGACTCCGCGCTTCCGCTCGTTCCGAATCGTGCTCCCGCTGCAACGCTGGCGTCAATATTTCCAGCGCCATGCCACGGCATGGTTTGGTCCTTCCAAATAGGCCCCAAATTATGAAAAATGTCCCCCCACCCCCCGAACAAAAAAACATCGGAAGTGATTCCACATTCGGTGTCGATTCGTTGATTGTTTGGGCCGCAGAAGCCCCCCCCACTTTGTGTCGTCGCCACGCAGAGCTATGTCAGGCTACGCGTTGATCTTCAACACCATGCTATGCCATGTAATGCGATTCCTTGTTACGACATCCGACTGTGCGAATAGAGAGGAGATCTACGCCATGGTAAGGGATGGGAGGGAAGGGTAGAACGTCAGATATGACGCGAGCGCACCTAGCGTGCCTCTCCCCCTCCCCCTCCCCCTCCTACCTCCTCCTCCTCCACCTCCTCCTCCTCCTCTGGTTCCCCCTCCCCCCTCCCCATTTTTGGGCGCGACGGTGTCGCAGCCTTTCTTCCACGGCGTGCACACCACATGCTTAGTCAGGGCAACTCGCCTGGGCGTCCTTCTGGATGGGCTGGTGGGTTACGGGAAACGTATGGACACGACATGTGCTTTAACGAACTGCCGGACGTTCCTGCCGGACTTCAAGTCGTACCTCAAGTCGGCGTTCGTGTAGTTGACCAGCTTTCCGGTGCGATCGTACTTGAACTCCGTAAGCGCCGCCTTGATGGTGAGTCCGTCGAGCAGCTTGCACCGATCATCGATGTAAGCAGCAGGATTGCCCACGCTCTTCACCGTGCGTTTCAAGACGGTGGTCTCCGGATCCCCGAACTCTCCTGAAGCCCATCTGGCGTGGCTCTTCAAACCACGCTCTTCGCTGGTGAGCTGACGGCCGACGTCCCCCTCCACGTCCGCCTTGTGGAAACGCATCCGCCCATCGCCCTGCCGCACGTAGCACGGCAACAACTTGCCGCCTCGAGTAAGCTTGTGGCCGAAGTCCCAGTCCCTGGAGAATGTTTCCCTCCCTGCCCCGAAGGGATCGATCACTGCGGGAAACGTGTCTGGGGGGTGAACACTCACCAGAGGGGTGCGCCAGGCAACGCCAATACATGACTGGCACGAAAGTGAACGCACGCGCAAACTGCAAACATGCGCGTATAACTGTCGCACAAAGGCCTCCCCGCAGCACAGCGACCCTCGCGTTTTCACACACACACACACATACACAGGCACACACACAGACACACACACACACACACACACACACGCGCGCGCGCACGCGCACGCGTCTGACGACGTGCACAATTTCAGGATACTGTCTTCGGAAAGACTCACTGCGAGCGTTCACCACGGCACTGCTGTGAAAGCCACTGCCCGAGCCAAAATCCCACAATGTGCCTGACAAAACAACGACGCGCTTGACAACAAATAGCGTCGGAAACCGAGAACCGCCCGCGCGCAGCAAGTTCACCGACACCCCAAACACCACAACAGCCTGCGAACGCCCAGAATTCTATGTGAGCACGACGGTGTGCCTGCGAGCACAGGCAACACCACACGTAGCCACAATAACTCGCATAACTCTGACTGTGCCGCAACATTCACAACACTATGCCAGTCAACTGCTTGTACTAGATCAACCAGCGGGCGACAAAACGTGTTTGTGAACATCGGGCAGCACCACGCACCCGCGCGCCTGCGAACAAAAATGGCGCAGGCATGCACAATAGCACGCCGCATCCGTTCGGGAAAACAACTGAATACGGAAGATGCCATGCCCTCACGGAACGAACATTCATTGACAGAACATCGCTGGCCCAACGACCCAAAAGGATTGTTAGACCCCCCCCTCGAATCGCCACCTGCCGCGCGCGTAACGCCCTCAGCCCTCTTTGGCTCTTTGGGTGACCCAAAAGGGGGTCCAGCTGAAGGGGGTGGTGCAATAGATTTGGGCGAACTGCATTGCAAATGTACTGCGCCGGAGAATTGTATTGCATTGTATTGCAAGTAATGTACTGCACACGAACATCCAGCAATACATTTGCGCCCTGAAATGTATTGCACACCCCATATGCACTGGAACCCCACAATATATTGCACCAAACCTGGTGCACCACCCTCTTTTGGGTCAACCTGACCCCTGGGGGGAGAAAAACACCACGGTAGTTCCCCGCATGGTCGGGCCCGGGAATGGCGCTCTCCCTGGGCGCGGCCCGCGGGACCCCCAAGATGGCACGAGCATCGACGCAAGAGGACCCAAGCACGGACGAACCACAACTCCAGAAGGGGAATCTAGAGCTGTGAGGCATGGGTGCGGGCAATATCTATATCCATATCCAGGGTGTCGTGGACTTTCCTGAAGGGGCGCCGCAAGGCCGAGGCGCACTGGACATGGATAAAATTCGAGCCTCTAGCAGGGGCCTGATGTGTATCCATATCCAGTGCTCCTCAGCTTTCTGGGGACGGGAGCCCGAGACCCCAAGCTGCAGTGGAGATGGACACAAGTTTTGCCCGCAATGGGAGCCGCTTCAAAGGACACCGGACCCGGGCGAGGGTGACCTCGAAATCCCCTAAGACCTCACCGCACGGTCCTTCACCGCACGGTCTTGGGACCCCGGATGCCCCAGTCGCCCGAGACGTCCTCGGAGAACGACCCGAGTCCCAATACCGTGCGGTGACCCCGAATCCCCACCGACTAACCGCACGGTGTGGTCACAACCCCGTTTAGGGGCCCCCGAGCGTAGCGATGGTGGTGTAGGGCGAGGGAACTGACTCCTGTGCACTGGCGGACTCTGCGCCTCTCCGCCTCGCGCCGCCGGCGCGGCGCTTCTACGAGGAGGAGGAGGAGGAGGAGGAGGAGGAGGAGGAGGAGGAGGAGGAGGGAGGAGGAGGAGGAGGAGGAGGAGCAGGAGGAGGAGGAGGAGGAGGAGGAGCAGGAGGAGGAGGAGTGAGGAGGAGCATGGGGGAGGAGCGCTCAGCGCAGCGAGGGGTTGCGTCGAGCTGTGTCGAGCCGTGACGGCACGCCGTGCGCCGAGCCGCGCCGGAGGGCGCCATGCTCTCCTCGCGCCGTGGACCGGGCTGCCCTCGGCAGCAGGAGCCCGGGCGGATGCGGACCTCTTCGGCTCGCGGGGGGGCCCGAGCACACAGCCCCGAGCTGGCTACAGCCCAGGCGCGCAGGGTGCTCGGCCGACTCGAGCTCAAAATCTGAATGGAGTGCCGTCAGCGGGGCGGACCACGAGGGGGCTACTGTTCCGTCGGGCCTGTCCCTCTACAGGAGGAGTATTCAAAAATAATCAAATATTCGTCTTGGGGCGATATCTTTTCCGACTATGTTCGATAATTTGGAATATTTTTGACGATTTTGAATTGTCGTCCAAAATACGCCTGTAGGGGGACGTGTCCGACGTAAGGCTACTGCGAAACGACGCGATACGCGCGGAAAATGGACGAACGGAAACGCGGCGGACCAAGACGCGACGCGCTGCATCAAGACGAACCGAGACTGGGATGCTGAATCTGGGGGCATTCCTGGAGACATTCGCTCCACTCTTGCGTCGAAGCTGCGTCGAACGTCAGTCGATTTGAATCCATCCGGAGTCGAACCTCAGCCGAACTTGAGTCGAACTTGAGTCGAACTCGAGTCGGACTGGGGTCGAATTTGAGTCGAACAGATCCGCCGACCCCATGTGGGTCTCGAGGCGTGTGAGATCCTTCCCCCCCCATACCCCCCCCCTTGGACCCCTAATCCGGCAGTTCGACTCCCCAGCCTCGCCCCAGACGAACCCTTCTCCATCGCCCTGGACGAACGCGCCCCCCCCTCGCCCTGGACGAGTGCGCCCTGGGAAAGAGGACCCCAAAACAAGCCAAAAGGGCCCTGAGAGGCTCCCAAGGAACTCCACGAGGGCGCCGAGTCGCCGCGAGATCTTTCCGAGACGCTCATGTTTGCCTCCAGACGGCCCCAGATGCCCCCACGACGCCCCAAGGGGCATCCAAGAAGCCTCGACGAGGCATCCCAAAACGGCTCCACGAGGCAAGATTCGCTACGAATGTTCCACGGGTTGTTGCAGGTTGTTTCGCCTTCTCGCCTGTTCTGTTTCCCGACGCTCCAACACGGCCCCGGCGACCTCCCAAGTTCGCTCCAAGACGGTCCAGAAAGCCTCCAAGGAGGGCCCCAAACCAGCGCAGGAGGGCCCCAAAACAACCCAAGAGGTCTCCAAGACGGCCCAAGACGCTCCCAAGACGCCTCCAAGAGGGAGCCCAGGCAGTGGATCCAAACACACATTTCGAGTCTTCACTTTTGAGAGCCCCCCAGGAGGCCCCAAGAAGTCCCTAAGAGGCCCCACGGAAACATGAAAAGGCCCCAATATCTTCCACAGAGGTCCCCCGCACGGCCCCAGATGCCCCCAAGACGCCGCAAGGGGCGTCCACGAAACCTCCACGAGACCTCCACGAGGTACTCCAAACGGCCTCCACCAGGCAAGATTCGTTTCATTTTCCATCGGTGTTTGCAAGCTGTTTCGCCTTTTCGCCTTTTCGCCTTTTCGGTTTCCCGACGCTCCAAGAAGACTGAAGAGGCTCCCAAGATGCTCCACAAAGGTCCCCCCGCACGGCCCCGGGTGCCTCCAAGACGCCGCAAGGAGCGTCCAAGAAGCCTCCACGAGGTATTCCAAGAAGGCTCCACGAAACAAGATTCGTTAAGTTCCATCGGTGTTGGCAATGTTGTTCGCCTTTTCGCCTTCTCGGTTTCCCGACTCTCCAAGACGGCCCCAGAAACCCTCAAGATCGCTCCAAGACGGCCCCAAAGCCTCCAAGAGGGCCCTGAAAAGGCGCAAGCCACGACCTGCCCTCGAACACCAACACCAGCCGCAATAGCGGCAAAGGGCACGCGTGTTCGCGCACCACACACACACACACTCACACTCTCATTTGCAGCCAGGGCTGCCGGCGAGCACCGCCGCCCCCGAAGAACCACGCAGGTCACTGCGCATGACTCGGCGGCGAGCGAAGACGAAAGTGAGAAGGGCCGAGCCTTCTCGGAAGGCTCGGAGGTCCCCTGGGCCTCCTGAGAAATTTTCGAGGCCTTCCCGGAAGGCACAGAACACTTCTCCGAAGGCGCGAGGGCTTCTGATGAACAGTCCCGCCGCCTACTGAGAAGGCCTTCACCTTCTCACTTCCCCCCCCGAGCGCGCCGCCGAACGTTGCTTTTGGGTCATAACTCGGGTCTCTGGCGGCCGTCCAGGACGATCCCGGCACCCCCGGAATGCTCTCGGCGAGACGCAGCCGCAGGCAAGCATCCCGACGCTGGAAACCCGCCGAGAAACAACGAAAACACCCTAAAACCTGGACCCTCGAAGCTCGAACCTCGGAGTCCCCCCCCCCGCGCTCGCCGCCGACTGCCGCGCGCGAGACCCACAGACTGCAAGGCGCAGGCATCGGCAGGCCCAGCGGGCGCGATCGCTTGCGACCTGGAGGGCTCCGCGACAGGGCGCACAGCGACTGCCACGGGGTCGCGGCCAGGCCGACCCCCTCCATGCGGCGACGAGGACGAGGACGAGGACGAGGAGGAGACCCAGCGGGAGCGGTCGCCTCGCGACCTGGAGGGGGTCCGCAGCGGGGCACACAACGACTGCCACGGGGCCACCGACCGAACCCCCTTCTCTGTGGCGACGAAACCCCTCCCGCCCTCGACGCCAGCCTCCCGCCGCCCGCCCGCCTCTCGGGCCCGGGCGACGGGGGCCGCCACAGAAAGGGGCCCGTCCGCAAAGAGCCCCGGGGACACACAAAAACACCTGTCAGCTCGCCCCGTGGCCCCCCGCGAGACCCACGCCGAGGGGCGAGCATATATATATATATATATACATATATATACATATACATACATATATACATATATATATATATATTATTATATATATATATATATGTATATATAATATGTATATATACACATACATACATACATATATGTATATATACACACATAGCGCAGCACCGCGCTGCATGCGTAGCCTTCGGCTGGGCCAGGCAGGGACAAAAACCCAACACTGCACCGCGCGGCGCGTGGATGCCCGCACCGACCACGACTCTTTTTTAAGGCCCTATACCTCCGCCCACCCCTTTCGCCGCCTCCTCTTCGCCCTCGTCCTTCGTCCCCCCTTTGACCTGCACAGAGACCACACGCCCGAATGATAGTTGCGGCCCAGCCCCGAAAAGCGGGACCCCCTGACCCCTGCTCGATATCCCTCTTCCCCCGCCAGAGGGGCAGGGCAACGCAGCCGCTGCCAGCTGAAGCTGCACCCGTGCCAGGCCTCAGGCGGACCCATCCCCCTTCCGTCGTCCCACTCCTCCGGTTCCAGCTTCCGCCGCCTCCTCCCCCTCCTACTCCCTCCTCGTATTCCGCCTCCTCCACTCTCCTCGTCGCCCACCTGCTCCTCCTCCTCCTTCTCCTCCTCCTCCTGATCCTCCTCGTCCGACGCCTTCCCCCTTTTCCTCCTCTACAATCACACAATATGAATACCACACTTCTCTCTCCCCTGGTGGCGTCCGGGGAGTGTCTGGCCCCCCTCCGCGTGGTGGTTTCTCATACACAAAGGATTCCCGGGAGTTGGGTTTTCGCATGGGTCTTGTTTCGAAATGCTGCTCTCGCTCAAAGGCTGGCCTCATCTTCGGGCTACCGCTCGTTCCGACTCTTGCTACCGCTGCAGCGCTGGCCTCATTTCTGCGTTTCCGCTCGTTCCGAATCGCTCTCTCGCTGCAGCGCTGGTGCCATTATTTGCAGCGCCAAGCCCCGGAATGGTTTTCGGTCCTTCCAAAAAGGCCCCGACATCTAGGAAATGGACCCCCGAAAAACAATCGGAAGTGATTACACATTCGGTGTCAGATCGTTGATTTCTGTGGCCGCGGCAGCCCCCTACAACTTTGGGGCGTCGACACGCCATGCTATGTCAGGCTGCGCGTCCTCATTTCCGCGCTTCCGCGCTGAGTTGCTTTCCGACATGGCCTCATTTTCGGGCTACGTACCGCTCGTTCCGAATCGTGTTCCCGCTGCAGCGCTGGCCTCATATCCGCGCTTCCGCTCGTTCCGAATCGTGTTCCTGCTGCAGCGCTGGCGTCATTATTTCCAGCGCCGTGCCCCGGCATGGTGTTCGGTCCTTCCAAATAGGCCCAAATATCTAAACAGTTCCACAGCGAAAAAACAATCGGAAGTGATTACACATTCGGTGCCGATTCGTTGAATTTGTTGGGCCGCAGAAGCCCCCCCCTACCTTGGGGCGTCGCCACGCCATGCTATGACATGCAACACGTTGATCTTCGACACCATGCTATGCCATGTAATGCCATGCCATGCTACGACATCCGATTGTGCGAATAGAGATGAGATATACGCCATGAGAAGGGAAGGGAGGGAGGGGTAGGACGTCAGATATGACGCGAGCGCACCTAGCTTATCCTCGTCCCCTCCCCACGAGTCCCCCTCCCCCCCCTCGCGTTACGGCTGCATGATGCACCCAGAACCCCAGACCAACAAATCCGCCGGTCACTCCTGACCGCCCGTGCGTGGCACATGATGCTGCTTGGTTACACATGGGAAGTATCCTCACCGCCCGGCCTTAAAACTGCCAGCGACATATCCTCACACCCCTCGAATGAAACTGCCGGCGAAATACCCTCACACCCCTCGCGTGAAACTGCCAGCGAAATATCCTCACAGCCCCCAGCCTAGATAAAATTGCCAGCGAAATATCCTCACCCCCCTGAACTTGAAAACCTGACAGCGAAATATCCTCAACCCGCTGACGTGCGGAATGTCATTCCACCCCTCCTCCACACCCCCTGGCCTAAAACTGCCAACGAAATATCCTCACCCCCTGGCATGAAACTGCAAGCGAAATATCCTCGCACCCCTCGCTTGAAACTGTCAGCGAAATATAATGACAGCCCATGGCTTCAAACTGCCAGCGAAATCTCATCCACCCCCTGGACCTAGAAACTGCCAGCCAAATATTCTCACACCCCGCGCTTAAAACTCCAAGCGAAATATCCGCACCCCGTGGCCTAGAAATGCCAGCGAAATATACCCAACCCCCTAACTTACACTGCCAGCGAAATATCCACACACTCCTCGCTTAAAACTGCCACCGAAATATCCTCAACCCAAGACCTAAACCTGCCAGCAACATATCATCACCGCCTGGCTGAAAACAACTGCCTGCGAAATATCCTCACCGCCCATGGCCTAAAACTGCCAGCTAAACCCCCTGGACTTAAAACTGCCAGCGAAATGTCCAGCGAAATATCCGCACCGCCTGGGCTAAAACTACCAGCGAAATATCCTGACCGCCCCTGGCCTGAAACTGCCAGCGAAATATCAGCATCCGCTGGATTTAAAACCGCCAGCAAATAATCCTCACACCCCTGGCTTACAACTGCCAGCGAAATATCCTCACAACCATCGCTTGAAACTGCCAGCGAAGTATCCCCACCCCTTGGCCTAAAACTGCCAGCGAAATCTTCTCACCGCCTGGGCTAAAACTACCAGCAAGATATCCTGACCGCCCCTGGCCTGAAACTGCCAGCGAAATATCAGCATCCGCTGGACTTAAAACTGCCAGCACATCATCCTCACAACCCTGGCTTAAAACTGCCAGCGAAATATCCTCTCAACCCTCGCTTGAAACAGCCAGAGAAGCATCCTCACCCCTTGGCCAAGAAAATTTCCAGCGAAATATGCTCACATCCCTGTTTTTTTCACTAGCATCCAAATATCCGTACACCCCGCCCTTTAAAACCTGCCAGCGAAACATCCCCACACCCCTCGCTGAAAACTGCCAGCGAACTATGCTCAACCCCTGGCCTAAAACTGCCGACCAAATATCCTCCCCCACCCAACTTAAAACTTCCAGCGAGTCATCTTCACACCCCTCGCTTAAAACTCAAAGCGAACTATCCGCACCGCCCACGGCCTAACATTGCCTGCAGAATATTCTCACCGCGCCTGGATTTACAACTGCCAGCGACATATCCTCAATCCCCTCACTTAAAACTGCCAGCGAATTATCCTAACCTCCTGGCCTAAAACTGCCAACGAAATATTCTTATAGCCCCTGGCTTCAAACTGCCAGCAACATATCTTCAGCACCTGGACTTACAACTGCCAGCGATCCTCACCGCCTGGCCTAAAACTGCCAGCGCAATATCATCACCGCCCCTGGCTTAAAACTGCCAGCGGAACATTAGCATCCTCACCCCATGGACTTAAAACTGCCAGCGACATATCGTCAACCACCTGACTTATTACACCAAAGAAAAGCACCAATCAGTGGATGGCTTAGAAATTAGTGATTTGGATGCTGAGTTCGGTTGTGAGAGATCGATAGTGAAATCGACAGTAGGATCGATAGTGAGGATGCCTGTAAGTTCGATCGAGAGACCGATAGTGAAGTCGATTAATTGTGATAGATACTGGAATATATCGTGAGATCGCTCGTGGGATTTATAGTGAGACCGATCGTGCGATCGATGGTGGGACCGATCGGTGAAGAGATCGACCAGGAACCTGGGAACCTGGAAACCTGGTGATGGGCCTGTTTTCCACCTCACCACCATAAGTTTGAGGGGGGATGGATGTGGAGGATGAGGAGGAGCACGAGGAGGAGCAGGAGGAGGATGAGGACCCCCTTGCCCTTCAACTTATGGTGGTGGTGGTGGAAAACAGGCCCATCACCTGGAACCCCGCCGCCCACCGAAAACGGCCCGGAGCCAACAGCCGGGAACCCGGGGACCCGGAACCGAGACCCCGGGGAGCCCGGCTGCCAACCGAAATCGGCCAGGCACTCTCGCCAAATCTTCCAATCTCCGCTAGGACCCCTTAAGTGCAAGCAACGGTTGGGGAAACACTGCCACCGAGATATCTTCACCCGCGGGAGTAAACCTGCCATCCAAAGGCTCTCGTGATTCAGAGGTCCGCTCAGTCAGTCAATCAACTTCCCGAACATCAAACTACGGACTGCGTCCGTCGAGTAGACACAACTCCCAGTATTCCTCATATTTGTTTCAACATGTCCTGGGCTCTCGTCTTCCCCCGGGCGTCTGACCCGAACATATCGTGTACCCATCTGGTAGTACATCGTTTCCCGAGCGGCGTGGCCAGAAAGCGCCCGCCACGACGCACATAATCTAAGACTTCTCGGTGCGCGCGTCGCCCCTGGAGGGGGAGCGACGCACATGTAGTATTATAATGTTTCCGTGACGCAAAACGGTGTCCTGGGCAGCCACGAAGTGTGTGACTTCAGGTCAGGCCGCGCCAACTTTGGCCAGTGCTTCGGCCTCTCTGGCACCTGAACGACGATCAAAAACGGGCCATGCGCGAGATGGCACAGCGACCCTACGCGGTGGCATAGGCGGGCTGGCGGCGTGGCACGCCACACTGGAGCCGAGGGCGCTTACGCGCGACCTCGCGCGGGGAGCTCAATTACGCGTGAATGTCGGCGCACTTGGATCAGTTTTTTGTTCGTCGCCCACCTCTGCCTCGGTCACCCCCGCGTGGGCCCACGACGGCGGCCTCGACTTGCCAGGGCTGGCGCGCGCAGCCACAACGATGGCCTTCAGGATCGAGGCGCACGTCGTGGGGACGGCCGCGGCGCGCTCCTTCCTTGGAGGCTGCCTTCGGGGATCGACTGACCCGACTCAATCCAGACCCTGGTCAATCAGGCCTTGCAGGATTTTGCAGGATCCTGCACCCAAGCCCAGGTCAGTGCGACCCTGGCCCAGCCCTACAGGATCATGCAAGATCTGGCGCTCTGGCTGACCCACGCTTGCATGGACCTCCGTCTCTTGAGCCCCGACTCCTCGAGAGCCGCGCTGCTCTGGTGGTCTTGCTCGACCAACGCAGCCCGCATCGGCGCGAAAACCTCCCGCCCGGCGCCTCTCCAGCCGCCCCGCTGCCCGCGCTGCCGGGTGCGCGGCGGCTCCGCTTCTGCCCCGGGCGGGCGGCCGCGGGCCCGGGGCAGGGCTTGGCAGAGGACGCCGCCGCCTTGGAGCAGCCAGGAGAGGCTGCGAGGAGGTCGCGGCAGTAGGCCGTCAGCGCCTCCTGTCTGGCTGACACACAAAGGGCTCCAACTACAAGGGGGTGGTGCAATAGATCTGGTGCGATAGACTTGTAAATTGCCATAGATTTGGGGCGTGCATCACATTCCGGGGCGCAAATGTATTGCTAGCTCTACGCGTGCAACGCATTAGTTGCAAGATAATGCAATACAATTATCTGGCGCAGTACGTTGCAACACAATTGATCTATTGCACCACCCCCCTTTCAGCTGGACCCCCGTTTGGATCACCCAGATCCTTGGTGGCCCCAGTCTCCAGAAACCTGCCCTTCAAAGCCGTCGCGACCCTCGCAGCCTCCGCCTGGTCGCAGCGCGCCATGGCCAGGGTCACCCGGACCTGGGCATCCGGCGGCCCTTGTGCGCTCCGTGACGTGGACCCTGGACACGCCGGCCCTTCCCCAAACTCGGTGGTTCCCCCTGGCGCGATTTCTGACGGTCCCGAAACCCAGTCTGGGCAAAAACAGGACCGATCCAGAAGCCCACAGGATCGATCCAGAAGCCCACAGGATCGATCCAGAGAGCACGATCTGGGAAAAACGCGGAAAACCCGAAACAGGATCGATCCACAGGCCCGGGGAAGGATTGAGCGCTGCGAGGCATTGGAACGTATCCAGACACCTCAAGCGGCCGATGGGCCGTGGCAGTGCTGAAGACATCGTTGGTGATGATACAGTGCCGGGGGCTGTGCTGTGCTGCCCTGTGCTCTGCCGCGCCGCACAGCAATGGCGAGCCTGGAGGACGCGCCACAGACCGCGCCAGTGGACGTGCAAGGGGAAGCGCCATGGGACGCGCCGCGCGATCAGCCAGGGCGCGCCACGGAAGGTGCCAAGGGGACGCAGCACGAAATTCGCCAGCGCATGTGCCGGGTGACGTGACAGGAGACGCGCCGCACGACGTGCCCACGGGACGCGCCACCGAACGTACCAGGGAAAGCGCCCGTGGGCCACGATCCCACGTTGGCTACACTGCCTCCGCGCTCCCAGAGCCAAGATCCAAGATCCATCACGCATTGCACTGGCTTCGCGCCTGAAAGGCCGCGCTGCCTCGTACATTACGTGACAGTTGCGCTCCCAGGGCCACGATCCCTTGTATATTGTCTGGCGCCCGCGCTCCCAGGGCCACGATGCTCTGTAGACCGTCGTGCTTGCGCACGCCCGAGGCCACGCCCCCTCTGCCCACGCCCCCGTGGCCTCGATCCCTTGTAAATTACCCTGCGCTGGCTCCCCCACGGACTTTTTTTATTCGCGGGTCGAGAGCGCACCTCTTCCGGTCGAAGCTAAGCGGGCTGCGCAGAGCTTGAATTAGGCGGAGAAGAGGGAGGAGAAAGGGGGCGCAGCCACAGAACAGGGCCAGGAGGAGGCAAAGCCTGGGAACCAGGCGGTGTCGAAGTCGACGAACTTGCAAAGGAGCGCTCCCCACAGGTCACGGTCCTTGTAAACTGCGCTGCGCCCGCGCTCCCAAGACCACGGTCCCTTGTGAATAACGCCGCGCCCGCCCCCCAAAAGGACAGCGTCCCTCGCACGTTGCTCTGCGTCCGCGCTCCCATGGCATCCAAATCTCCGCTCCCCCCCCCGGGCCAAGATCCATTGTAAATTACGTCAGCGCTTCCATGGCCACGATCCCTGGGAACCAAAGCGGATTTCGCATGCCCAAAAACACCTGGGCATTCCCGAACGCCCAGACCCCTCAAGTGCTACAAAACAAACGTATCGCTGGAGACATCGCCGGGGTTTTTGAATGCAGGACACGCCATTCGCGTGCTTCCAAATATTATTCGTTGATTATGACTATGCGAAAAAACGTTCCGCAAATGAAAAACAATCATGGGAAACGGGGTCTGCGGACCCGGTGATTTCACCTTTGTGCGACGTGGGGGGCGCACTCTCTTTGAGCGGGCCAACGCGAAACATTTTTTGCTAAACAAATTGTTAACCTCCCACACCGTGCATTTCCAGTGAAACATGCGGTGGCATCTGCGTGAAGCAATCCAAATGACGAAATTTATGTGGAATGGTGAACGTTGTGCAACCTACGTGGTGCAGTTTATGTGGTGCCCTTAATGTATTCTCGCAATGAGTTGTCCACCCCATTGTTCGCGCGTGCATCACACCCACCCACCCGCAACTTGGATTGCAAACCTCATGCGGCGGCGATTGCGAGGAGTGCTTGGCGCTGGCTGGTGCATATCTGCGGCCGCGCCAGCCCGGGCATGCGCACGAGCGTAGCGGCCAGGTAGTTTGGCGCGACCGACGCGGCCGCAGTGGTGCTGACCGCTCGGCACATCCAGGCGGGCCTTTGAGTGCGAGTCTGTGACTTGGGCGGGCACGGTACCATGGCAACGTCGACAACTGTGGACACGATGGTGATGATAGTAGCGATGTTGGTGACGATTCTGACAGCGACGACGGCACGGTTAGTGACGGCGCCGATGCCGATCACGCCGGCGACGATGACGGCGTCTACGCGTCGGCGAGCAGGGTTTGGAAAAGAATTCGAAGTGCGAGCGCAGCAGACGCGCGAGCGGGGCTCGCATGGTAGTATTTGACACGGAACGTGCCAGCCCTGCACACGCGCGCACGAGCGTGCGAACGAGTTCGGCATGCGCGCGCGAAGCCCGTTCGGGAGCATGCTTTATGTCAATGTTAATGTAAAGTATGGTTTCCGGGAGACATCATCGCGAGAACGCGCGCGCACGCTGCTGTTGAACATCCGTGTTGCGAAACCCTGTGTTTTGGACGCGCGATATCGAAATCCTTCCCCAAAAAACCAAAGGCTTGCTCTCAGGATTTCGGCGTACGCGCGCGCATGCTTCGTCCCATGTGTTGCAGAGGACTCCCGCGACGGCACGCGCGCAAAGGCGTGCGAACGATTTCGGCATGCGCGCGAAAAGCCCGTTTGGTAGCACTTTCTGAAAGTATGGCAAAACAAATTATGGTTGCCTTAAGAAATCGCAAGAACGCGCGCATGTTTGTTTGAAAACCCGTGCTGGGAAACCATGTGTGTGTTTTTATGTATGTCTCTTGGGCACTCGAATTTGAAATCCTTCCGACATCATAGAGGTGTTTGAAGGATTTCGGCAAGCGCGCGACGACGCACGCGTGCGCATGTCGTCACATCTGTTGCAAGGGATCCTGGAAAGCTTAAGATTTGTGATAAACGACTGCGCGCGCACTATATTTTTTGCAGAGGATGGCGGGGGTGACCGATACCAGCCTGGCTGGGATAGTATGCACTCACAGGAAGGATGGACACTGGGTCAGCATCCTGTGTTTGGCAACGGTTCCCGGGGAGTCTTTAACCCCGCGGGGGGAGGGTGGCAGAACCTATTTCTTTACAAAGGAAAACATACGTTGCGACACGTTCTGCGACCTACAATGTGCAATCTACGATGTGCAATTCATGGTGTGCAACATTTGGGGTACAATGTACGTGGTGGGATCTATGTGGTGATATTAATTTCTGGCCGCAATGAGTTGTCAACTCCACTGCTCGCGGAAACATCCCACCCACCCACCCGCAACTTGGTTTGCAAACTCTCTTAAGACCGGGACGGTGGGTACCAAACGGCACTTGGCAACGACAGCGACGCCGACGACGACAGCGACAACGACGACGACGACGCCACCGACAACGACTACGACGACACCGACGACGTCGCCAACGGATTCGACGACGCCGACAACGACGACGACGACGACGACGACGCCGACACCGACGACGACGACGACGCCGACGCCGACAACGACGACGATGACAACGACGACGACGATGACGACGCCGACGACGACAACGACGACACCGACGACGACGACGACGACGTCAACGACGACACCGACGACGACGACGACGACGGAGACGGCGACGCCGACGCCGACGCCGACGACGACGACGACGACGACGTTGCCAACGAAGACGACGACGAGGGAGGAGGGAGGACGACGACGGCGACAACGACGACAACGACGAGGGAGGAGGGAGGACGGCGACGACGCGAACGACGAAGACGGAGGAAGGACGGCGACGCCGACGACGTCAACGACGAGGGAGGGAAGACGACGACGACAACGACGACGACGACGACGGCGACGAAATAGGAGGGACGACGACGCGACGCCGACGACGGACGACGACGACGACGAGGGAGGAGAAGGAAGGACGACCACGGCGACAACGACGACGGAAACGACCACGACGCCAAAGAGGACGACGCGCCGAACAGGAGCAAAAACAGAGGATGACGCAGGCGACAACGACGACGACGCGGGAGGAGTGAGGACGGCGACGACGACGACGCTGACGACGATGCAAGAGCGCGCGCGCACGCTTTTATCGAAAACCCGTGTTGCGAAACCTTGTGTTGTTGTAGGCTTGTTTGGACACACGATTTTGAAATCCGTCCGAAGCTAATGGGCTTTGAAAGATTTCGGCATACGCGTTCGGGCCTCGCTCGGGCTTACAGGGAGGGCGACGGGGCGAGCGTCGCAGCACCTCACCAGGCCGCCAGGAGGACGAACATGTGCGAGGGCATCGGCCACCCCACCTCGGTGGGCCTCGCTCGGGCATGCAGGGAGGGCGACGGGGCGAGCGCCGCAGCGCCTCACCAGGCCGCCAAGAGCAGCTCCATGTGGGCCTCGCAGCGCCTCACCATGCGGCCAGGAGCAACACCATGTGCGAGGGCATCGGCCACACCACCGCTGTGGGCCTCGCAAGCAGCAGGCCCTTCCCCCTGGGCATACGGGGGCGGCCCCAAGAGCCCAGCACAAGCCGGCGAGATTGCCATGTTGGACTCGAAATCAGGATGGATGTTCCCATCAGGACAGACATGATCACAAGGACACCCCAGGCCGTGAGAAACATTCAAAGAGGAAGACACGTGGCAGGAAGAGCTTGGCACGAACCCCGCTGCCGTTGCACTGAGTTGACCCTCGGCAGGCACCGAGACTGAGAATGGCACCGTCACGACGTCGACCATATCACTGTGCCCTGAGGCTCTTGGCCTCCTTCCAAGAGGGCGCTGTATGCATGCGCTTGACAGCAGCGCGAAGCTCAGCATCATCATCAGTGCCACCTGTAAGCACCTCCGTGCCGCACTGATTGAGGTACTCGCGCAGCTCTTCTGCCGTAGCTGCGTTGATGGCCCCAGCATCAGTTGCCTTGGCTGCCTCGGCTTGCTGCTGGGCTGCCTGAGCGAAGGCTGCGTCCTCTGCAGCCTTCGGAGCAGCACGCTCCTGCTGCTCCTACTCAACTTGGAGACGCTTGGCCTCCTGGAGCTTGGCATCCTCGGCATTGATTGTTAAGGCCCAGTAAGGCGACCGGCGTGCTGACCCCCCCCCACCCCCTTCGCGGCAAAAGGTGCGTCGCGCATGCGCCGCCCGTGCGCCGCCCGTGCGTCAGCCGCCGAAAAGGCCAGCCACCCTCTCGAACGTGCACGTCGCCCTCGCTAGGGGGCGATTTGGTGAGTGCGTCGCCAGCGCGGCGGACACCCACGGGGCGGATCGCGCGCGCGTCGCCCGCTCCACGGCCGCTGAAAAGCCCAGTCGCTTTCGGGAAAAAAAAAAAAACAATCGCCCACGCCGCGGCCCACTCGGCGAGAAAAAGGCGGCGGCTGGGCCACCTCGGCAGATCAGCACATCCCTCTAACATTACACATGCAGCGACGCTGCTGAACGCACCCCAGCGCTAGGCCAGCAGGTCACCGCAGCCGCCGCCACAGCCGCCCCGACCGCCGCCAGCGCCAAACTACCACCGCCACGATCACCACAAACGGATGCGACCGCAACCACATCCACCGCGACGATTACGACCAACACCATTTATCGCCATCACCACCACCACGACCACCGCGCCTCTCGACCACCACAACGCCCGACACGAGAACGATCACCGACGTGACCACCACCCGCCCGCCCACCACCAGCGGCGCGACCACCGCCAGCGCGACCAAGGCGACGAACGCGACCACGACCGTGATCACCGACATGACCATTACAGAAGCACCCGCCCACTCCGTCCTCCCCCCTCTCCCCCCAGCCCCCTGCTGGGCCGCCCTTGCCGCCGCGCCCGCCTCGCGCCCCTGCCCCTCCCCTCTCCTTTTCTCCTCGCAATCCCACCAGCCCTTTGGGCGTGAGTGGTTAAGAGAGCCCGCTCTGTCCTCAACCCCCCTTCTTCCCCTTTGGGGAGGGGTTTACCCCTCCCCCGACCCCCTACCCCCCGGACCTGGAGAGGGCGGGCCGAGCGTAGTCAGGGGGGTACTGTTCGACTCCTGGGAGGGCCAAAAAAACGACGACCCTCGCGAAGATTCTGGCCCCGACGGGGGGGGGAGTTTGGCCCCTCTGCTCGTCTTTGAAGCCAAAATCATTCACTTTACTACGGTGTTGGCCCCTTTTTGGCGTCCTGAGGGGGCCGCGCTTATCTTCCTTCATAGCAAAACTATTGTTTGTACGAATGTTTTGGGCTCATTTTGTCCTTCTCAGGGGGCAGCTTTCAGTTGCGCTTCTGAGGAGGTCGCAAGAGGCCCAAGATGGCCCCAAGAGGCCCCCAGGAGGTTCCCAAGAGGCCTCCAAGGGGCCCCCCAGAGGCCCCCAAGCGGCCCCAAGAGGCCCCCAAGAGGCCCCCATGAAGCCTCAAGAGGCCCCAAGAGGCACCCAAGAGGCTCCCCAGAGGCGCCCAAGAGGCCCCCAAGAGGCCCCCAGAGGCTCCAAGAGGCCCCCAAGAGGCCCCACGAGGAGCCCGAACGACTCACGCCAGGACGAGGGGCCCGAACGACTCACACCACGAAGGGCCCGAACGACTCACACCAGGAGGAGGGGCCCGAACGACTCACACCAGGACGAGGCGCCCGAACGACTCACACCACGAGGAGCCCGAAAGACTCACACCAGGACGAGGGCCCCGAACGACTCACACCACGAGGAGCCCGAACGACTCACACCAGGAGGAGGAGCCCGAACGACTCACACCAGGACGAAGGGCCCGAACAACTCTCACCACGAGAAGCCCGAACGACTCACGCCAGGACGAGGGCCCCGAACGATTCAAACCACGACGAAGAGCCCGAACGACTCACACCAGGAAGAAGGGCCCGAACGACTCACACCAGGACGAGAGGCCCGGAGATATGCGGGGGCAGGCGGAAACACGCCTGAAAAAAAAAACACGACTGTCGGCATGCATCGCAAGAGTTGCTGTTTTGAGATGGGCTGGTGGGGATACGCGAAGCGTGAACAATTTTCTTCTTCCACCGCCAGCGGCGGGGCCTTTCGCGGAAGGCGGGGGCGCCGCTCGCGGCGACGCGCCGCGGCCGTGGAAGGGGGGCCGGAGGAGGGAAAGGAAATGAAGGCGGACACGGGGTGGCAAGGGGAAACAAAAACAAAGACGAGAGAGGAAGGGGGAGGGAGAGAGAGAGAGAGAGAGAGAGAGAGAGAGAGAGAGAGAGAGAGAGAGAGAGAGAGAGAGAGAGAGAGAGAGAGAGAGAGAGAGAGAGAGAGAGAGAGAGAGAGAGAGAGAGAGAGAGAGAGAGAGAGAGGGAGGCCGGTAGAGAGGAGGAGGGGAAGGGGAGGGGAGAGGGAGACGGGGCAGGAGGGAGGACGAAGGAGGAGGAATAACGAAAGAGGGGGGACGACGAGGAAGGAAAAGGGAAGGAACAAGGGCAGGCACCGCCCTTCCTGGCGCAATGGAGGGCGCAACCGCCGCCACTAGTGAACAGCGCAAGCGCGGCGGGCCGACGGCCGTTGCGCATTGCTGTTCGGGGGAATTCTAGGGGCGGGCAAAGTCGCGACTGCGTCTCGCGCATGCGTCGCGCGTGCGTCGCGCGTGCGTCGCGGGTGCGTCGCGCTTGCTTCGCGCGCGTGGCGCGCGCGTCGCGCGTGCGTCGCGCGGGTCGCTCGCGCGTCGCGCGCCGGCAGGCGTGCGTCGCGCGCGGGTCGGGGCGCGTCGCGCGTGCGTCGCGCGAACGCCGCTCGGGTCTTTCGCGCGTCGCGCGCAGGTCGCGCGCGAATCGCTCGAAGGGCGCCGTGGACTTCTGACGGCACGTGAACTGCACGGCCCGCTGGCGAAACAATCAAGGGACGCGCGCGGCAATAGAAATAGCGAGGCGCGCACGTGAGGACTACGAACGCGAGGAGACCAATAGAGGACATGGAGATGCAGCGCGTACGGACTAATCAATTTCAAGCGCGCCCCGTCATAATTTGAACATCTGTTCGTCGCTGCAGCAATTTGGCGACGTCTCGCCCGCCGATGCATGGGGGAAAAAGAGGATGGAAGTGAGGCGAGGGGAGGGCGGGCGGAAAACGGGGCGGACGGGCGAGGAGGGGGCGCGCGAGGGCGGCGCGGCGGCGGCGGGAGCGATGGAAGGCAATCGAAGGGCGGCGGGAGCGATGAGGGCGAGAAGGAAGTTCCAGGAGGGTGGAAGGACAACGGGGGGCGAGTAGGGAGGGGGACAGGACGGCAGCCTGACACAGGAGAACTGAATACAAATTTCGCAAACAAGACAAAACGCGCAGCGCGTTGGACGAGGGGGAGAGGAAGGAAGAGGGGGGGGGGCAGGAGGATTGGCGCGAAGCGACAGGGGGGTGCGGGGCGCGATGCGACGGGGCGAAGTGGCGCCGCGTCGCGCGACGCGACGTCACCCCCGCCGTGGCGCGACGCGCACAGCCCCCAATCAACGCGAGGCGTCTTCGTCCTCAGCAACGGCTGGCGCCCCGAAAATGCGCACCAGCAAATCCTCTTGCGCCGAATTGGAAGCAGAATGCGACGCTCGGGCGACGCACTGAACGAAACTTACAGGGCGGGGGGTGGTCGTTTGACTGGGCCTTAACAGCCTTGATCTCCTGCGCCACGCCCTGCGCCTTCTCCTGAAGGCCAGTGGCCAGTCCCATTTGCTCCAAGACCTGGGCCATCTTAGAGAGTCCCCACCGATCCTCGGCAGCGTCGCCAGTGGCAGGAGGCTGCGCGGGGGGAGCGAGAGCGGCAGCCGTACTGTTGAGTTTGGCGCGCTCTGCCTGGAGCTCGCAAAGGGTGGTGCGCGATGCCAGGATCTGCTCCTCACGGTCTTCGAGCCATTGTTGGAGCTCAGCGATCTTCTTCGCTTCGCGTCCTGGGAGGTCTGCCATCGCTGCAACTGGGACTCCAGCATAGCGGTGCGCTGTCCAACCTCCTTGAGCTAAACCATCAGGTTTGGCCTCGAAGATGGTGCCACGGAGAGACACACGCCCAACAGTCTACTATTGGAGAACCTGTTCGATCTCGGGCGTAGCTGGACGGATGGCAGAGAGTGTCTTGATGAGGCCGTCGAGTTCTGCTGTGCGCTTCCTGGAGTCCGAGACGACTTCGACCTCCATCGCATCGGCGTCCTTCGCCAAATGCTGTGCAGTGGCCTGCTTGACTTCTGCAGTGAGGCCTGCCACCCGCTTCTCCACTGCGGGTAGCTGTATGGCCATGGCCCCAGGCTGCTGGCTCTCGGTGCGGCTCGACGGGCTCGTCGAAGGCTGTTTCGGCGATGGCGTGGACAAGAACGCTGCACTGTTAGAGACCGAGCAGTTATGACAGGCCAACTTGTCAGGGTAGTTGACGAACGGCTTCCCGTCCCGCCCCGCACAGCATCTGCAGCGCCACTTGGAGCGCTGCTGGTTACGACGGGCCGCTGGAGAGGGCGCCATCTCGCTTCTCTTACTGCAACGGACTGAGTGCGGGCGCCACTCTGCGCAGTAGCCCAGAAGGAGACGGTGGCCAGGGCGGCGAGAGTTAGTTCACAGCGCGGCCCCTCGCGCTCTGCACGCCCTCTCGGGCTCGCGGTCGTTGGGTGACGCACTGCCTTGAGCCAAAATGGCTACGGATGTCTGTGTGTGCGTGTGCGTGTGTGCGCGTGTGCGTGTGTGCGTGCGTGTCGTGCGCGTGCGCGTGCGCGTGCGCATGCGCGTGCGCGTGCGCGTGCGCGTGCGCGTGCGCGTGTGCGTGTGCGTGTGCGCGTGCGTGTGCGTGTGCGCGTGCGTGTGCGAGTGCGTGTGCGTGTGCGTGTGCGTGTGCGTGTGCGTGTGCGTGTGCGTGTGCGAGTGCGCGTGGGTGTGGGCGTGGGTGTGGGTGTGGGTGTTGGCGCGGGCGTGGGCGTTGGCGCGGGCGCGGGCGTGGGTCAAGCTAGCCAGCTCGAGCGAGTCAAGCATGGCATGCCCATTCCCGCCCGCCCTCCCACAACATAAGAGACAGTGATGGCACAACTGGAGCTGCGCGGGCATTTCAGCGCGAGTGGGGGATACCCCAGGACACCGAATTTACGTCCGCGCGGGATGTGCGCCGCGTCCCATTCGCGCCACGCATTTCGCATCGTCGACGACAAGACTGGCCATGTTGAAAGGAACGACGGACACGTTCCGCCCTCCCACAACATAAGAAACAATGCTGGCGCAACTGGGTGCTGGCGCGTAGTAGTAGTAGTAGTAGTAGTAGTAGTAGTAGTAGTAGTAGTAGTAGTAGTAGTAGTAGTAGTGGTCGTCGTCGTAGGAGTAGTGATAGTAGTAGTCGTAGTAGTAGTAGTAGTAGTAGTAGTAGTAATTGTAATAATAGTAGTAGTAGTAGTAGTCGTCGTCGTAGTCGTAGTCGTAGTCGTAGTCGGAGTCGGAGTCGTAGTAGTAGTAGTAGTAGTAGTAGTAGTAGTAGTAGTAGTAGTAGTAGTAGTAGTAGTAGTAGTAACCCTGAATCGCCGAAACATCGTTCCAAGACGCCCAAGATGGCCTCCAGACGGCCGTGGCGCCAAGAAGCCGCGGGGGGCCTCAGGAAGCCCTCCAAGAGCCTGAACAAGCAAAAACCCCAAGCATTTGCCACCCCAGGCAGGGCCTCCTGGAACGCCCCGGCGCCTAAAGAGTTGGCGAACTGAAAACGTGCGCCGAGCCAAAGCGGGAGCGCAGCTTTGAGAAAATCTCGCTCGGCGCCCAAGCGAGAAGGTCATTTCATTCACTTCGAGCAGGGGGGGGGGGGGGGGGGGGCGCGCCCAATTCTTGCCGCGCACTTCCGCGTGGTTGACGACAGCAACGACTATGTGGGCAGGGGAAATCAGCATAGCATTGCTTCTGGCAAGTAAGGTGCCCCCTCCCGCCTTGGGGTTGCCCCAGAAGTCCGCGCGCGATGTGCGCCGCGCCCCATTCTTGCCGCGCATTTCGCATCGTCGACGACAAGACAAGCCATGATGTCAGGAAAAACGGCAACTCTGGATTGTTCTTCACAGTCAGGATGGGAGGGCCCGCAGCCCGCGTGGACGTCATCGCGCGACGCGCGCCGCGCCCCATTCCTGACACATATTTCGCACCGTCGGCGAATAGGCAGGCCATGCTGAGAGGAAAAAAAAACGGAGACTTTGTATTGATTCTTATAATCAGGATGGGCGGGCCCGGACTGACGGCCGCGCGCGATGTGCGCCGCGTCCCATATGTGCGCCGCGTCCCACTGCTGCCGCATATTTCGCACCGTCGGCGACAAGGCAGGCCATGCTGAGAGAACAAAAACGAAAGCTTTGTACAGATTTTGTACAATCAGGATGGGCGGGCCCCGATTGACTGCCACGCGCGATGTGCGCCGCGCCCCATTCCTGCCACGCTTTTTGCATCGTGAACGCAAGAAAGACGATGTTGAACAGAACAACGGCAACTTTGCATTGATTGTTTACAGTCCGGATGGGAGGTCCCAGATCGGGTTGCTATGGGCCGGAATGCGAGGTAGGTGGGGGTATATAATAATGAGGAACAAGGGTGTGGATGTGAGTGTGGGTCTGTGTGTGTCGCTCGTCAGAAAGACCGCGTCCGTGATCGAACGCAGCCCTGTTCTTGTGACGGGCCGCTAGGACCGAGGGCTCTTGGGGCCTCTCAAGGCAACAGAGCACAGTGCACGGCCCCCAGACCGCGAGCAAGGGCAGGCCGAGCCTGCGGGGCAACTCTGGAGACCCAAAAAGCTCCAGAGCACAGAAACGGTCCCCAGACCGTATCAAGAGGGCAGGCAGAGCCTGCAGGGCCTCCCGAGGCCAGAAGGACCTGGGGCCTAGCCCCGACCAGGAGCGAGGGGGGCCCCCGTCCCAGGGTGGAGCTTCGCCGCCAGGCGGTCGCGGCGCTTGGCCCGCTCCCGCTCCGCGGGGGTGACGCAGCGGTCAGGGGCGGGGAGGGCGCCAGTGCAGGGGGCCCCAACAGCCGCCCTTGCCGCTTGGCATGCGCTCCACAACGCCTGCACACCGTGTGCGGAAGCCTCTGGAGGATCTCGTGGCCAAGCGCCTCAGATACCTCCTCCGTTCAGTTCCCCGACCCACGGCGGCGGTGTCAGCAGCAGCGGCAGGCAGTCGGGAGCCCTCGCCTCGCTGCTGCGGGGCTCGCGCTGCGCCAGCAGCGGCCGCCGTCGTCGGCGGGGGCGCCGTCGGCGGCGAGGGGCCCGCAACGGGACGCATCGCGCGAGTTCGCATCGCGCGATTTTCCGCCCTCCCATCCTCCTGCTCCCACAGGGGGGCCTCCAGCAATCCCCCCGAGGGGAGTGCAGCAGGGGGGGGCGATGCAGGAGAGGCAGGAGCAGCAGGTGTGCCTCCGCAGCTCTGAGGAGGCGAGCCGTGAGCGCAGCCCGTCGCTCCTCGCGCGAATCCGCCCTCCGCCCCCCCGACGACGACGGCGACGGACCACCGCCGCCTCCAGGGCCAGCAGCAGGGCCAGCACGCGCCTCGCGCCGAGGAGACCTGCTATATTCGCGCCATCGCTCAAGCCGGCCTTGCGAAGCGCTGTGGTCTTCGCGACTCGCAGTCGCAGCACATGCCGCCGCGGCCGCCAGACCCAGGGCAAGGGCCGACGGAGCGGAGGGGGGAGCAGGACTCTCCTCGGCTTTGGATGGGCAGTGCATCGCCAAAAGGGCCGCAGCACGAGCACGGAGCAGGGCGGAAGGCCGACATGGGCGGGTCAGCAGACCACGGATCGTCTCTTCCGAAAACCCCGCACGATCACAATTCCTGCAACGGAAACCCTGTCCATCAGGCGCCAGCTCATGGGAAACAATGGCCAGGCTGGGCGGCTTCGGTGGGGGCTTGCGGGCAGGGGGCTCGTCCTTGGGGCCGCCCCACCGTCCTGAGCTGAGCACTCGCTTGCCAGCCCAGGCCACAAACCTGGCACGATTCACAGCATCGGCAAGGCGCAGCTCAAGGCCTCTCCCGAAATTGGGGCTGACCGTGACAACATGCAACGCAACAGTGGCAAGGGAGTCCGCCCACGCGTTTCCCACCCAAGCCATCGCCCCCACTCCCCGACCGAGCGCTTCCTCGGTTGTCTTGTGAGAAGGGGCCCAGGCAAAGCGGGGCGGGGGGCGGGCCTGCCGCTCGACCGTAGTTCTTATGGCACGCCAAATCTCCGCGTGGCGAGCAGCGGCCGACGCCCCCCTCTCGCTCCACCGCTCACCCTCTTGGACCAACGACAGGTGATCGCTTGCAATTCTAGTTGCACGCGGCGCGGCAAGCACAGCCTGATATGCAGCATACCTGGCTGCTCTGGGCACCGACTGGATCCCCGGGGGGGGTCCAAGCCTGGCCTTGGACGGGCGGCCCTGGGAATCAAGCTGCACAACCGCCCAGGCACAGCGCGCAACTTCTGGAAACTGCATGTCCTGGCCAGCCTCATCCGTGAAGACCGTGCCTTCCCAGGGAATCTCAGGGTCACCCCATTCAAACCATTGCTCGGGAGTACGATCAGGCCTCTCGGACTGAGGAGGGACCATCGACAACGCGAAAGCCGGCTGAACAGAATCGGAGAAAGTGGGATCAGCCGACTCAAGCACCTCCTTACGCATCTGCTCACGCGTGGCGGCCCTACGCTTGTGCTCACGCGTTTCCTCTTCCAGCGGATCGGCTTCGGAGCTCTCAAGCAAGGCCGGGCAATCCAGCCATCTGTGACCGAGCGTCTCGGGTTTCTTTTCCGAACAAGCCAAGCAATCAGGCGACGCAACAAAGCCATGGCAAACTTCTTCTCTCGTGGCCACATGGCGCCTGTCCACAGGCACTGCAGAGCGCCAAGCTCTGCCGAGTCTCGCACGGCGAGAGGACCCTGAGTGCACGCGCGAACTGCACGATACCACAGCTCCTCTCCATCGTAACCTGGTAGGTGTTGCTGTACACGTCGCATCAGCCACCGCTGCGCTCCAGCCTCCAGTAGATCTCGGAAGCCACGAGGAGCCACAGCCAGCAGCGGGAAATGCTCATTCTTGTCCGTGACCACCTCGTGCGCGGATCGCATCGACCAATCAACTCGCCGAAGTGTCATCCACAAAGCCGATAGTGGGCCTGTGACCTTGGACCGGGCCTCAGCCTTCTGCATTCGACCTGCCATCAGCTCCCAAGCGCGATGGAGCTGCACGAGAGATACCTTGGCCTCCCACAGCCACGACGCGTAGAGGTACGGCAGTTCCAGCGCGGCAGCAAAGATGGGGTCGTACCTCGGACTGCGCTGCATCACCATGCACGTGGTCAAAGACGCGGCCGCCTTTGCCCCTGCCAGAGCGCCTGCCAGCGAGCGCACAGGCTTCAGGACATGCTCTGCCACACCCATCACCGCAGCGCCGTGAAGGACCGAAGGGGTGAGGCCTGTGCTTTGAATCCGGGTCATCCGTCGATCTCCAGCCGCTCGCTTAAGGATATGCAGCGTCGAACTCTCGT